ACACCCACACCCACACCCACACCCACACCCACACCCACACCCACACCCACACCCACACCCACACCCACACCCACACCCACACCCACAGACACACGCACACGCACACGCGCACGCACAGACACACGCACACGCACAGACACAGACACACGCACAGACACAGACACACGCACAGACACAGACACACGCACACACAGACACACGCACACACAGACACACACACACACACACAGACACAGACACAGACACAGACACACAGAGACACATACACAGACACAGACACAGACACAGACACAGACACAGACACAGACACAGACACAGACACAGACACAGACACACACACACACACACACACACACAGAGACAGACAGACAGAGACACAGACACAGACACAGACACAGACACAGACACAGACACAGACACAGACACAGACACACACACACACACACACAGAGACAGAGACACAGACACAGACACAGAGACAGACACAGACACAAACACAAACACAGACACAAACACAAACACAAGCACAAACACAAACACAAACACAAACACGGACAGACAAGAGCAAAGAAGATAAGGGGTCTTGAGCCTTCAGGGTTCGGCGACTTCAGTGGATGCCAGCAGCTCCTCAGTTCCCCGAGTTCTTCGGAGGGGGGGTGGCAGAGAGCACTAACCCCTCCCTTTCTGCTCGTAGCATGCAGGCCGAAGCAGGGCGAAAATGGTGCTGCTACCCGCAAGCCCTAAGGCCCCAAGGCTAGGGTTTAGGGATGTTTAGGGCTTAGGATTTAGGGTGGACCTTTCCTAGAATAGCCATTGGGCACCAGAGTTAAACAGTTTAGCGGTCGTGAAAGTGGGCACTCCTTTAGATATGCAGGGTTTGCCTTCACATTCTGCCTCGTTAACCCTTAAAGCCCTTTAAACTCAAACCCTATAACACCCTTTAAACCCTATAAACCCTTTAATCTCTATGACCCCCGCTATTCTGTAAAGCCTTAAAACCCTAGAAACCCGGGCCTTTGAACCCTGTAAACCATGTAAATCCGTAAGACATTTAAACCCTGTAAACCCTTTCTAACCCTTTAAACTCAATGCCCTTTCAAACCCTTAAAGCCCTATAAACCCGGCAAATCCGTCCGTAGAACCTTTAAACCCTGTAATTATCAACCCTTTAAACCCCGTAAATCCGCAGAACCTTTAAACACTGCAAACCCTAACTCCTCTTTCGGATGCAGATGGGGTCCGATGACTGAGGCGAGCACCCACGGAAGCGATCTGGCCGTGGAGGCCGGGGGAGTTTCTTTAGGGTTCAGGGTCCAGGCGGTTTGCTTGGGGTTTCGGGTGAAGGGTTCAGGTGGATTAGAGAAGTGCAATCGAGCTCAACGGCGGAGTTCAGATCATTTATGGACTCTTCCGTCATTGAGGGGCTGCTGGGTTGAAGGAGAGCCAAGGGTGCACCCTAAGCCCCAAAGAGGCCCTGAGACAAGCCTTTGTAAACCCGAAGAATCCGAAGAGGGGGGGTCCGAATTACTTACTACTAACGTTCACTTCTGCTCCCTTTACATTTATACTCTATCGTGGGCCCCAAAACCTTGTTCTAATGATCAAGGCTCCTACAGTACATGCCCAATCTGAAGCCCCATGCCCCACTGGCTCTAGTGTTTGGAGTCACGGCTCAGTTTGTGGCTGTGTGGATTTTTTGGGGTGAGGTGAGCCATCAGTCGGATTCAGATGCACTAGGGCTTAGGGAACTCCAAACCCCTAAACCCTACACCCTGTGGGTTTAGGGTTTAGGGGCCTATTTGGGTGGAAGGGGCTGCTGAAACCCTACCAACAGGCTCGAAGTGCCCAGCGCAAACTGCGTTCTTCTACTTCTTTGCAGCGAAGAAGAAGCTGTAGCAGAGCCTAAGCAAGCTACTGTGTCGGGTTTAAGGGTTTGAGGTTTAGGGATTAGGGTTTTGGTTTTGAGGTTTAGGGTTTAAGGTTCAGTGAGTTTGGGCTGCAAGGTTTGCTACGAAGAAGGAGTGGAATTTCCCCGTAAACATTGGCAGGCCTTGCTTGAGGCACGTGCAGATGTGGATCTCCAGGCTCGATGCCCTGCTTGTGGAGGGGGGGGGGGGGTGAAAGGTCCTATAGGGGCTTAGGGGGTTTAGGGGGTTTAGGGGGTTTAGGGGGTTTAGGGGGTTTAGGGGGTTTAGGGGGTTTAGGGGGGTTTAGGGGGTTTAGGGTGTTTTGGGGGTTTAGTGTTAGTGTTTAGGGTTTAGGGTTTGGGGTTTAGGGTTTAGGGTTTAGGGTTTAGGGTTTAGGGTTTTGGGCAAAGGTCATAGGGGTTTGTTGGAGGGGTCAAAGAAAAAAAGGCGTAAACTCCTCAAAAAATGTTTGGGGGGCTTCGGGCATGCACGAATGGAAAGGGTTCACATGGCATCACAACGTCAAGTGCTTAGGCTGGGGAGTACAGTAGGGATTTAGGGCGCTTTCCTGAGCATTCTCGTCAGGTTCCAGTTGTCAGCCTCCCCTGAGAGCAAAGTAACAGGCCCGTCACCCTAGGTCAGTCTCCCACAGCTCGTTTTTGTTGCGGCTTTACTTTGCTGGGCCGCTCTTGATCCCCCCCCCCCCCTTGTGGACTTCGGGTGGCAATTATGCTTCCCTGGGCTTCCCGAGCCACTGCCAGGATGCGAATGGAGACACGGCACTCCAGATGGCCTCGGGGGGGGGGGGGAGGGGTTTGGGTTTAGGGTTTCGGATTTAGGGTTTCGGGTCTAGGCGTTAGAGTTTTAGGGGGATTCGGGCCTGAGCGAGGTTTCGGGTGTGGGAGGGGTTCTTCGGGTCATTTTGGGGGTTGAAAAATGTGGGGGTTTCCGAAATAGGGGTAACCTTTTGGGGGATTCCTTTCATAAGGATTCTTCTATTTTGGAGGTATATTAAGGGTACCCCCATTTGGGGAAATGCCCATGTCCCCTGGGCGTTTTGTGTCTCACTGGCTCAGTCCGTGTTTTGTGGAGGCGCTGCGCTACTACCACGGGAAAATCTCGCACAGGGCCCCAGACGCTTTTCTTGTTCAGCCTTGAGCTCAAAACCGCACCCCAAAAAGAGGTAACAGTTCGAAGTGGACCCGATGTGGGTTTTTGAAGCAGTATCAGGAGATTCCAAGTGGCTTGCAGCTTGCGGCCTGTAGATGCACGCAGCACGTTGCACTTGCTACCGCTGTTGAGCATCGCTGTTGAGCATCAACGATAGACACCCCAAGCCCTGAACCCTAAAACCCCCCCCCCTTTGCCGCGTAAGAGATCCCTTTCAACCTTACTTTAAATGTTTGCTGAAAGTGTGTTTAAGAGCCTGACTCAGGTCGCGGCTGCTTCCCTTGCGCCGGCGTGGCTAAGGCCAAGCTAAGGTTCAGGGTATGGGGTTCAGTGGTCAACCCTAAGCCCCTAGCCCCCAAAAGGCCTAAACCCGTGTTCTTGAGGTTGTTGGGAATTTCCTAGACCCTAAACCAGAAACCCTGAAACTTAAACCCTAAACCCTTGTTGTTGGAGGGGTTGGTGGCCTTTGGGTGGGCTTGGGGCCTTCATGATTTAGCTGCGGCTGGAGGGTTGCGGACCCCCAGACCACAAGTTGCAGTTCGAGTTGTTTTTTGGGCACACTCTTTCGCGGGCAAGGCAAGGCAAGCCGTGGGCCTACTTGGGCCTTGGGATTTCGGGTTCAGGGGCTACTGGGCCTTGGGCGTTCGGGTTTAGAGGCTCCTGGGTCTTGGGCTTTGTGGGCTTGAGGGTTCCGGGGCTACTGGCAATGGGAGGATGGGTATGTCTCCATAACTTGACGAGCTGCTTGACTAGCGAATGCTTGGGTTCGGTATGAACGTGACTCCGCGCTGAGCCCCAAAACTGCAAGCTTCAGGTCGCGTCGGGTGGCCGGCAGCGTTGCATCAACTCCGAAGGAACTCTCGGCCCCCAAAAAGTGCGCCATGTGGGCTGGGGGTTGCTCGCTGCCAATCGCTTGATGAAGTTTGATGATGTGTTGTTGTATTGTTGCTTGCGCAACGCTTTTGAGCCTCCCGTCCATTACTCACAGCCATTAGCCATTGTAGAGTCCACGTCTGACCAAGCGCAGCGACTCGGAGAGTTCGCTGGCGCCGCTAGTTGCCCCAATCCGAACCCTGCAGCCCCCCATTTCCCAAGCGCAATAGATCGGCAATGCCTTGGTTGCTTTGGACGCATGTCACATGTCTGATGCTGCGCTTGCTCAAGGACGTTTCAGGCGACGGAGGTTCCAGAGCACAGAGGGTCGCTAGCTTTTCAGAACAAACTGCCATCAACCTAGCACCTTGCGAGACCAAGCCGGCTTTCTAGCTGTGATCGTTGGGTTTGATGCTGATTTTGTGTTGGCAACACCATACCAATGCACTTAAAAGCAGCACGCGGACGGCAGGGTTCCTTTTGCCAGCGAGCCTCGACGGCCAAAACAGTTTCGATTGCGGCCGCAAGGTGCGGCACATGTCGAGCAGGGTTTAGGGTTTAGGGCCTGTAGGGCTTATAGGGCTTGGGGGTTTAGGGTTTGGTTTTATTTTATCCAGAACTTGAATCCTGAAGCCCCTAAGCCCATTGTCCGAAGTCGCCTCTGTGTTTTTTGGTTTCTTGACACAGGGAAGTGTGTGTCACATAGAAGCCTCGCATGTCTCTGAACTTTGGGCTGAAGCCCTCAGCGTTCAGGGCCTAAAACCAAAAGACCTTAAACCTCTAAAAGGTAAGCGACGTCCCCCGAAAGAAAACAAACATACAAAAAAGCCTAGGAGGAAGCCGCATCCTCAAGAACAAACGGAACAAAAGCTGTAGAAAGCCCTCTACTAAACCCTAAACCCTAAACCCTCAACCCTCAACCCTAAACCCTCAACCCTAAACCCTAAACCCTCAACCCTAAACCCTCAACCCTCAACCTCTTTTTAAGGGATACACGGTAGTTGCCCAATTCCCTATTCCAGAGCCAGAGAGGTGTGAAGAGCACCAGCCATGGCCGAGGAGGACCGCTTATGCAGGGTTTAGGGTTTAGGGTTTAGGGTTTAGGGTTTAGGGTTTAGGGATGCTGGGGGATTTGGGGGGGTTTGGGGTGGTGAGGGATGCCTCGTGGTGCTCTGAGGAGCCGCCGCAGTCGCCGCAGGCGCCTGAGGAGAAAGCCGAGGCCGTCTACAGACAGGGTGAGGGGTTTAGGGTTTAGGGTTTTGGGTTTAGGGGTTTGGGGGTTTGGGGGTTTGGGGGTTTGGGGGTTAGGGGTTAGGGTTTTGGGCTTCGGGTGATTTGGGAGTGTAAGGTTTGGGGCTTCGGGTAGGTTCCCTAAATTCCAGTCTTTTCTTGATTTCTGATTCGCCTGCAGGCCTGGCCCTTACATGTTGGGACCTCGAAACAGGAAAGACCCACCATAGCAACAAGTGGACCTACGACGACACCCTGAAGCCCTAAACCCTTCCCAAGGAGTCTTAAGCCCTAAGTCCTGGAACCTTTGTCATAGTGGGGTAACATTTTGCATTTTGATGTGTACTTAAACTCAATAAGGAAAAGATTTTTTCATTTTTTAATGCTATTCCCAACTATGAACTAGGAACCTTGCAGCGCAGGCCCCAGTCGACGATGAGTCGGCCAGCCGCACGCGCCGCGCTTGGTCCTGGGGGCGTTTAGGGTCTTGGGTACGGTGGTTTCGCTCCTGCAATACGGCAAACACTTCGAGCCGTAAATTCACAAAGTTTGTGTTAGAACACATGCTGGTGCCACGGCACCACCATTGGTGTTCGCGAGCAGCAGCCAGCAGTCAGGCTGGCAGGGCTAGTGAGTCTTTCTATTGTCTTTCTGTTGGCCTTGACATTCCGTCATCCGGAATCGGTTCTTGGTTTCCAACCTTCTTAGCACATCTGTTCAGACGTCCGTCCACAGACACCATTCTTCAAGCCACCTGTGAAGCAAAAGCAGAAGCAGGTGCAAGACAACAGGGGTGTGGGGCCCGAACGGGGCCTTTACCTTGGATCAACACCCTCCCCCTGGGTGACCCCTGGAGCCAAGCTCGGTGAGTTGAAGGTTCTTCACCGGCATCGATGCGGAAGCCGGCAAGAAGGGCAAAGGTGCGAAGGACAAGAACAGGCGGAAGAGAGGGTCTACAGGGAAGGGCGGTTTGCGTCTTCCGCTTGCTTGAGGCAATTTTTATGGATTTCCGGGTTTTCGGTTTAAATTCGCTGCAAATGCCTCCATACTCCAACCCAGCCCATCTCACACACATCCGTTTTCAATTCGCCGCTGATTTCTTTATGTGAGTCAGGCCCGACAACCCTGACTCAACACCCCAAGCCCTGCATACTGTGGACCCGAGAAGGGCAGATGCTGATATTTGCATTGGTCTTGGTGTTGGTAGTAGTAAGATTTCTCAGTCGCACTATGATTCTCATCAAGGGTATTACTGATCGTGCTGTTGTTGGGCCGTGCTGCTCTCCTTTTCCCGGCAGGTTTCGGAACCTCGAAGCCACCCCGGCCGGGACGAAGATCATGGAACACTTCGGGGACCCACTTTTTTCTCAAGGGGCGTGTGGGGGTTAAGTAGTGTTTGGGCTTTAGGGCTCGGGTTTCGAGGTTCGGGTTTGATCAATGTTTCCCTGGGTTTAGAGCCTCAATCCTAAATACACCTGCGCCCTGCACCCCCTTCGTGAGCTTCAAAAGCCATCGCCTTTGACCCTAAACCCTAAGCCTTAAATCCTAAACCCTAAACCCTAAACCCTAAACCCCAAACCCTAAATCCTAAACCCTAAACCCTAAACCCTAAACCCTAAACCCTAAACCCTAAACCCTAAACCCCAAACCCTAAACCCTAAACCCTAAACCCTAAACCCCAAACCCTAAACCCTAAACCCTAAACCCTAAACCCCAAAACCCCAACCCCAAACCCTAAACCCGCCAAGCTTGGCTTTGAGGACCTCACGAACCTCGCCAATAGCCTCGACGTTCGGATGGAGGCTTCCGGGGTTGTGGGCTTGAGAGGGTTCTGGAGGATTCTAGTAGGTCTCCATAGCTTTAGAGTAGGGTTATTGGGGGTTTTCGAAGGTTTTCGAGGGTTTTCTAGGGTTCAGACAGGAAGTTTACAGGGTTCTTAGGGTTCAGAGGGTCTAGGGAGTCTAGGGTTCCGGTTTGGGGCCTTGCAGGGGAGTTGGTGTTTGTTGGGTTTTGCGGCTTACAGGGCTTTGTGGGCTTTTTGGGCTTCACAGCGTCTTGGAGGGATATGTAGGGCTCGTACAGTAGGGCCTCTTTTCATCGTGGATTCGGGGTTCGAGGGGTTTTGAGCTTCTAGGACCACGTAAACCCTGGACCTCTGACTCCCTGAATTCCGGACTGTTCAGCTAGCTTCGCCCACTAGGGTCGATGCCCACTTTGTGTGACTGGCGCTTCTGTGGGGACTTCATGGTTTGCAGGCATTAGGGTTTAGGTTCCAGGACTTAGGCCAAGACAAGTTTCTAGGCACGCAAAAGGGTTCAATATAGATTTTGCAGTAGGGTTCATCGAGCATTAGAAGACTTGATAATTCATATTATGAGGCGGGCTTTACGACGATCCGTTTATGTTCCCTTATTCGGCTCTCTAGGATGTCATTCTGGAGGTTCAATTCAGGAGGGTCAGAAGGAGCCAAGCTGGTCAACATCACCCCTCAACTCCGTCTGAACCCTGAACCCTCCCAAGCCCAAAACTCGAAACTTGTGTGAACTGTCAACCCTAAACCCTGAAACCCAAACCCGAAACCTTTAAACCCTCAAACCCCAAACCCTGAATCATGATCATCGAGTGTGAGAGAGAGAGAAAGAGAGAGGCACTGTGCTTAGACATGAAGCCCCAACGCTAAACCCTAAACCCTAAACCCCAAACCCAAAACCGAACTCGCCTTAGCGAGGCGCTGCTTCGTGAACACGAGCAGGAGCACCGAGGGCCCCACTGAAAATTCTGAGGGGGCTTTCGTACGTAGGTTGGCTCAGGTTTAGGGTTTAGGGTTTGGGGTTTGGGGTTTAGGGTTTAGGTGCTGGGTTTAGGGTTTAGGGTTTAGGGTTTAGGGTTTAGGGTTTAGGGTTTAGAGGAAGTAGGGTGATGAGTACTTTAGGGTTTAGGCTCTAGGGTCCGATGCCCGGCCGATGGCGCTTTGACATTCGACTCTGCATGCCCAGGATGAGGTCCGGGTAGGGTGCGTTAGGCTGGGGGCCACTCCGCAATTCGCGTCGCGTTGCGGCTCTCCCCCCCTACCAGGCTGCAGGATTTAGGGTTTAACCCCAAGCCTCTAAACCTGAACTCCAGGCTCTTGAACAGTAACACCAAACCACCAAACTCCTATACTGCCGCCCCCTGAGGCCTTGTAAGTTCGGTTTCAGGGTTTAGGTTCCGGGGGGTTCTACAAGGGGACTCACATAGAAACAGGCCCCATCTGATCCGAGCACAAGGCCTGAAAGGGAATCCAAGCTTGAATGGCGAGTTGGTGTTGCTGTTGTTTACGGTCCCTGAAAGGCGTTTTGAACCCCGAAAAAGCAAGCAGTTCTCAGTTGCTGCGGAGGACTTCTTCCTAGCCTACAAGACACACATGTACACGGTGTGTGACCCGGAGACCCACCAAGCAGGGGCCGAGAGGGTTCAGGGTTCAGGGCTTGTGGGATTGCGATGGATGCGCGCGCAAAGGGGGGGGGGTGTTCTGATTTAGCTTCGGGCCCCCTTATTCCCAACTCTGAAGAAAAGGGCCCCCCAAAAATGCAACGGTCGGGCAAAACCGACAAAGACAGGGCAGACCGAACAGGAAGCTACGCTATTGGGCCTTGGAGTGGCCTTGCAGGGCTTGATGGCCCAATCCTAAATCCTAATTTTAAACCCTAAACCCTAAACCCAAAACCCATAACCCTAAACCCATAACCCATAAACCCTAAATCATTAAAGTAGCTGCAAAGGCTGGCGCTGGGAGGGTTCGGGGGCTCATGGGGCTCTGGGGTTCAAGTTCCTTGGGCCCTGGCCTTGACGGCGGAGCTAGAATATGGGGTTCATTTCAAGGTTTATATATATAGGGTTTAGGGTTTAGGGTTTAGGGTTTAGGGTTTAGGGTTTTGTACACATACATATATACGTGTATGTATGTGCACATGTATGCATGTATGTGTGTTCCAAACAAATACACGTGTTGACATGTGCTGCCCAAAAAAGCCCCAAGCTCCACGCAGCCCACTTGCCCCTGTGTCTCCCAGGTCCAGAAGGAGATCAAGGCGCTCCGCCACAAGGTGGAATGACCCCCACCACTTCCCCCCAAGAACTGAGGGTTTAGGGGCTGAATTCCCCCCCACCCCCCCTCCCTACCCCTCCCTAGAAAAAACACATAGAATAAGAAAAGAACACAAGGGAAACAAGCAAACTAGATATCTACACAAGATAGCCCAGGAGCAGATTCAGTGCGGCTGGATGCATGATGGGCCCTTGTCGGGGTCTGTGTTTGTGCGAGCTCTTGCCTTCAGAGTTTGGGGTAGCAAGAAGGGGCCCAACATTCCCTAAACTCTGAACCCTAAACCCTAAATCCTAAACATTAGAAACCCTAGAGAAACCAATTTGAGCCCTCGACCCTAACCCCCCCTAAACCCTTCCTTTAAGCCCTCAGCTCCATCCCATGTGCAGGCTGAGCAGGAAGAAGCCAAGACCCGTGAGGACCGGGGTTGGTAGGGTTTAAGGCTTACCTTCAGAACCCCCAAAACCTACTTGTTTCAGATTCTTATTCTGAAACCCCGTATAGAATTCTTAGGCAAGCTACAAAGATGTAGGTTTGGGTTCTTCAGGTAGGGTTACAGTATTAGGGTCATGACACACATGCCATCTGCGGTTGAGGCTTTGGAGGCGGCTTGGAGGGGGTGCAGAGCTTGCAGGGTTTACAGGGTGTGTGTGGTTCTTTTTTGCGGAGTTTGGGTTACCCTAAGCCCTAAACCCTAAACCCTAAACCCTAAACCCTAAACCCTAAACCCTAAACCCCAAACCCCAAACCCTAAACCCTAAACCCTAAACCCTAAACCCTAAACCCTAATGCGGGTCTTCGGCGCCAGGACACGAAGATCAAGGCCCTCGAGGGCGAGCTGGTGCGCGGCCGAGGGTCGAAGCACCTGCAGGGGCTTTAGGGGGTTCAATAGTATGTAATCAAAGTTTAGGGTTTAGGGTTTAGGGTTTAGGGTTAGGGTTTAGGTTATTTTTGTTTTTTAAAATCTTAATTGGGTTCTTAGGGAGGGGGGTTCCTTGGGGGGGTAGGTACCTAGAAAAGACCTTCGGGAAGCTTCGGGAGCATTTTGGCGAGTGGTGGGGAGTATTCAACTTTGGGTTACATACCCTCCTTGAATCCCCACGCCCTGAAGTGCCCTTGGAAATAAACCCTAAACCCAAAACCCTAAACCCCAAACCCTAATATTTTCGGGGGGGGGGGGTAAACCCTAAACCCTAAGCCCTTAACTCCAAGCCCTAACCCTAAAATTATGGATTCCTGCCGTGGCCAAGGATCGCTTCATGACACAGGTCTTGCCCTCAGCCTGTTTGTCTGTTGCAATCTTGGTCCCCCCAATTTTCCAGGTGCTGGGCTCCTTTGACGTAAGCAACACTAAAAGAAGCGTACCCTCATGAACATATGGTTGCAAGGCAACTGTTTGGTCGCCAATTTCTAGGTTCCTGGGCTCCTGTGTAGCAGTAGCCAACACCAAAAGAAGCATGCCCTTATTAGCATATGGTTGCAAACCCACCAAGGAGTACTATAGGGCTTAGGGTTTATGTAAGTCTTGTAGAGTCCCGGGCTTAGGGTTGTGCATGAGACTGTTCGGGTTTAGGGCCTTTCGGGTTTTTGGTTTTGGGTTCATGCTCTGAGGAAAGTATTGGGGACGTCGGCACTTTACTGTCGTCATCCCTTGCACAGCAGCTCGCGAAAGCCGGCCTTCATGCGGGGTTTGGGGTGGACTTAGGCTCTAGAGCTTCTCTCCACGGGTGAATTCACCATGAGGACCCTGACTTACTTTAAGGTGGCTTCCCCCTACTTGGGGAGCTGGGTCGAGACTCCTCTTGCGCGTCTGTGAGGTTGAGAGGGATCTCGGAAGCTTCGGATTCTGGCATCTTTTGGCTTCGGGGGCTTCATAGGGGGCTTCATGGTGCCCCAAAAAAGCTTGCAGAGCGCCGCCGCCATCCCTCTCTCCGCAGCTGCCCTCGTTTCCACTCGGTTCCTGGGTTTCAGCGCCGCTTTCTTCCGGTGGCGTCATGGCGACTTGGCGGCACCTCGGGATGGCCAAAGCAAGTCCCCTTTCCTCGAATGCCAACCCAGAAACCCTCAAAGTAGTCCCTCATTTTTTAAGCCACTTAGGACTTCCCTGTTGAATTGTTTGTTTTTCTTTCTCGGCCGAGGGCTCGCAGGGGGAACTGAGGGAAGGTTCGGCACAGAGAGAGCAGGGGCCCAAGATAGATCGTGTGAGGTAGCGGGCCCGCATCTCCCAGGTAGTATTTGGGAGACCCCTTAAGAGGGACCCTTCCTGGCCCTACTTCTGGGCCTCTTCACAGGGACCTGATTGAGAGGGTCTATATAACTATATCTAAGGGTCCCCCTAATCTTAACTCGCATCGAGAAGTGTCTCTTTGGGTCATCACCCCAAATTCACAGGTTCTGCTTGCTTAAGCCCGAAGCTGAGCCCTAAACCCTAAACCCTAAACCCTAAACCCTAAACCCTAAACCCTAAACCCTAAACCCTAAACCCTAAACCCTAAACCCTAAACCCCAAACCCTAAACCCTAAACCCTAAACCCTAATTGAGGCGCGGCTCCTGGTCGCGCTCTCTCCGGTCCTCGCCGCCTCAGTGTCTGTGGAGAAGCCTCCGCCGGTGCCCGCTGCCTGGGAGGCCCTGAAGTGAGGTTTTGGGTTTCGGGTTTAGGGTTTGGGGTTTAGGGTTTAGGGTTTTGGGTTTAGGGTTTAGGAGCCAGGTTATGCTTAGGTGTGGAGCCTCCGTCACAAAGAACCCCCTAAAGCGCTAAAGCGAAGCTCACTGAGCCCACGACCCACTAGGCCCGCCAGGACCCACGAAGCCCACTACCAGTAACCCTCCCCCCCGGCCCTCCCCAAACCCAAAACCCTAAACTCTAATCCATAAACCCTAACTCTAGTCCCTAAACCCTAGCTCTAAATCCTAAACCCTCCCAAACCCTAAACCCAAAACCCTCAACCCCCAAAGAGCCGACAGAACAGAGAGAGGGAGAGGGGCTTCCCCCGAAAACCATATTCTAAATACTAAGGCCCCCATTTTGACTGTATAATCACACCCTAAACCCTAAACCCTAAACCCTAAACCCTAAACCCTAAACCCTAAACCCTAAACCCTAAACCCTAAACCCTAAACCCTAAACCCAGTATTAAGGTCGCCGGCCGGGCCGATCCGGCGGAGCAGCTTGAGCTCACCTTCGCGCTGAGGCCTGGAAAAAGAAAGCGGGTTTAGGGTTTAGGGTTTAGGGTTTAGGGTCTAGAGGGTCACTGTTCTAGCATTCATAGTCATTAGGGGCTTCCAGGCCTAGAAAAAAACCCCACCCGCCCAAAGAATCCCATAACATTAAGAAATTATCACATTTTCATTCAAGGACTTGCCTTATTCGACGAAGGGCTTGCCTTATTCGACGAAGGACTTGCCTTATTCGACGAAGGACTTGGCTTATTCGACGAAGGACTTGGCTTATTCGACGAAGGACGTGGCTTATTCGACGAAGGACTTCGCTTATTCGACGAAGGACTTGGCTTATTCGACGAAGGACTTGGCCTATTCGACGAAGGACTTGGCTTATTCGACGAAGGGCTTGGCTTATTCGACGAAGGACTTGGCTTATTCGACGAAGGACTTGGCTTAATCGACGAATGTCGGAGAGTGGCCAGGATCCGGCCCTTCGTCGAATAAGCCAAGTCCTTCGTCGAATATGCCAAGTCCTTCGTCGATTAAGGCAAATGAGCAAGGATTGCCTTAATCGACGAAGGACTTGGCTTATTCGACGAAGGACTTGGCTAATTCGACGAAGGACTTGGGTTATTCGACGAAGGACTTGGCTTATTCGACGAAGGATTTGGCTTATTCGACGAATTCATTAGGGTTTAAATAAATAAACAAATAAATAAATATATAAATAAATAAATAAATAAATAAATAAATAAATAAATAAATATATATATATATATATGAAGAGAGGTTTAGGGTTTAGGGTTTAGGGTTTAGGGTTTAGGGTTTAGGGTTTAGGGTTTAGTGTTTTAGGGTTTTAGGATTTAGGGTTTTAGGGTTTAGGGTTTAGGGTTTAGGGTTTTAGGGTTTAGGGTTTAGAGTTTAGAGTTTTAGGGTTTCGGGTTTCAAAAGGTGTCTTTCTTGGGTTGTAGGGTTTATGGGGTTTATAGGGTTTTCAGGGTTTGTAGGGTTTGCAGGGTTTGTAGGGTCTGTAGGGTCTGTAGGGTTTGTAGGGTTTGTAGGGTTTCTAGGGTTTATAGGGTTTCTAGGGTATAGGGTTTAGGGCAGGAGGAAGAAGGATAGGCTGCTGTTGGGGCGGCTCTTCCTCTTTGCGTTTTGCTTGTTTGTTGTTTGTTGGGGAGGGGCAAAGGGGGGGTGGGGGGGGCGGTTCAGGGGTTCAGGGCTTGGGGAGTTGAAGTTGCCCATTTAGAAGGGCGGGTTTCGGGCGTGGGGTAGCAGAGCTGTTTGGGAGGGTTCTAGTTTCGAAGCACAGGCCACGCCTGCCTACCGCTTCAGGCACTTGTGCACCTCCCCATGCCGAGTTCAAAAGTTGGGGGGGAATGAAGTGTAAGTATGAACGACGATCTTCCTGCACCTCGCAGCAATCCTGTTCAGGCAGCAGAACTTGGACAAGCTGGACGAGGCTGCGGGGCTTAGAGGGCTTCGAAGCAGTCTTGGCCCTTGATCCCTTTGCCTCAAAGTGGGAGTTCGCGAAAATCAGGGACCCCAAGTATAGACACCCAAGTAGTAGGATTCCCTTATATAATAAGGACCCAACAAAGTACCCCCAATATCGTCAACCCCCAAACCTGGTCTTGGCGGGAGGGGTTCAACTCCGCCCGCGCGCGAAGGTCTTCTGGCGAGTCTCCACTCCCAGCTCTTCCGACTACGGCCAGCACTGGAGCAACGAGGCTTCCGACGGCTACGAGCCCCCCAAGCCCGGTATGAACCTGTAAGCTCCTGAACAACCGCGAAGTCACCAAGAGCGCCCTAGAAGCCCCGCAAGGCCTTTCAGTTGGGATGTTCCCCCTTTCTACTAACAGTCCTTAGTAGGGATGATCATAGGGGGTACTATCATCTCGATTAAGGGCTGTTAGTAGGAGGCTGAACATCCCCACCGTTGAGGCCGAAGGCTTAAGCCTCCTTACTCCTAAACCCTAAACCCTGACCCCTAAACCTACACGCTAAGCCTCCTTCACTCCTCCTGCTTCCGGCTCTTGTTGTTAAAGCGCCTTCAGGCCGTCAATCGACTGACGGCACCCAGGCACAGCTTTGTCTCACTACTCTTTTGCTTCAGAACCCCCCCAAAAAGTAAAGGACAGAGAAATCCCTATTTGGCCCTCATTAGAAGGAAGAATCGTACTGTAAACTGTATTTCGTGTGTTTTTGGGTGGTTTAGGAAGACGACTTATTCCTTTCATTCTGAATTTACTGAGCGTGTTTTAAGCAAATAGTAGGCCATACTAGGTCAGGGGAGTACAGTTTAGGGTTCGGGGTGTTGGGACTGGCCCCCCTATAATCACCCGAAAGCGGCCTGGTCTCTTGCGCACTGCTCCTGGAGCTTCGGGTTTAGGATTTAGGGTTTAGGGTTGCTCAGACATCTTCAGAGTTTGGATGACAGCCAGTGAGAGGTTCGTCTACGCTCTTTTCGCTTATGCTGGGAATCCACCCTAAACCCTTAGCCCTAAACCCTAAACTATTGATAGGTAGTTTGGGGCACCGAAGAAGCTCGAAGCCCCAACCCCCCCCCCCCC